AGAGCCACAACAATGGCGTCTCTTCTCACAAACGGTATCTCCAGCTTTTCTCCACAACCCACCACCGATTCCTCCAAATTACCAAAAGGGTTCCTCCCAAAACTCGATTCCCTCAAATTCCCATCCCCAAAAACTCTAAATCCATCCTCGACGAGAGGACTTTTCAAAGTCAGAGCTGATGTCGGAGACTCTCGTAAACCCGGACCTGAATCAGGTAACTCTTCTTCCGCCGATAAGCTTCAACAGTATTTCCAGAATTCAGATTACGATAAGAAATACGGATTCGTCGGAGATTTCGAGTCGGTCACAATCGATAAAGGATTATCTGAAAAGACGATCCGATCCATTTCGAAGTTGAAAGAAGAACCAGATTGGATGCTTGAGTATAGGCTCAAAGCTTATGAGAAGTTTCTGAAATTGGTAGAACCTAAATGGTCAGATAATAGGTATCCTTCGATCAATTTCCAGGATATGTGTTACTACTCTGCTCCTAAGACTAAACCAACTTTGAACAGTTTAGATGAAGTTGATCCTAAGCTTTTAGAGTATTTCGAAAGATTAGGTATTCCTTTGACAGAGCAGAAACGAATGAGTAATGTTGCGGTTGATGCGGTTTTCGATAGTGTTTCGATAGCTACTACTCATAGGAAGACTCTAGAGAAAGCCGGTGTGATCTTCTGTTCGATATCCGAAGCTATTAGAGAGCATCCGGATTTGATTAAGAAGTATCTAGGAAGAGTTGTGCCTAGTGATGATAATTACTACGCGGCTTTGAATTCGGCTGTTTTCAGTGATGGGTCGTTCTGTTATATACCGAAGAACACTAGATGCCCGATGCCTATTTCGACTTATTTCCGGATTAACGCGATGGAAACGGGTCAGTTCGAGAGGACTTTGATTGTTGCAGAGGAAGGGAGTTTTGTTGAGTATTTAGAAGGATGCACTGCTCCTTCGTATGACACGAATCAGCTTCATGCTGCTGTGGTTGAGCTCTATTGTGGGGAAGGAGCTGAGATCCAATACTCGACGGTGCAGAATTGGTATGCTGGGGATGAAGAGGGTAAAGGCGGGATTTACAATTTCGTCACAAAGCGTGGTCTTTGCGCCGGGAATCGTTCCAAAATCTCTTGGACTCAGGTTGAGACAGGTTCGGCGATAACTTGGAAGTACCCCAGTGTGGTTTTGGAAGGAGATGATTCGGTTGGGGAGTTTTACTCTGTTGCATTGACTAATAACTATCAACAAGCTGATACAGGGACTAAGATGATTCACAAAGGAAAAAACACCAAAAGTAGAATCATTTCAAAGGGAATTTCGGCCGGGCATTCGAGAAACTGTTACCGTGGTCTTGTTCAGGTTCAATCCAAAGCTGAGAATGCTAAAAACACTTCAACTTGCGACTCAATGCTTATCGGTGATAAAGCAGCTGCAAATACCTATCCATACATCCAGGTAAACATTGTTTATGATCCAATCTTTGCTATGATAAAGCTGTAAACATTTTCGCCCGTTCTTGATTGATTTCGCTATATATGCGTTTGCTTTACCTCTAAGGTCTTAAAGGTGTTAACTTTATTGTTCTTGTTATGGCTCTAAAACAATAACAGGTAAAGAATCCATCAGCGAGAGTGGAGCACGAAGCGAGTACCTCAAAGATTGGAGAAGATCAGCTCTTCTATTTCCAGCAGAGAGGAATCGATCACGAGAGAGCATTAGCGGCGATGATATCTGGATTCTGCAGAGATGTCTTCAACAAGCTGCCTGATGAATTTGGAGCTGAAGTTAACCAGCTCATGAGCATCAAGCTTGAAGGATCAGTTGGTTAAACAAAAAAAAAACTCAGAATCACAGCTTAAAAAAATAATGATCATCTTTGTGCATCTCAATAAAACTTTTACTCTTCTTTTTTTTTTTTTTTGTAATTTACTAGTTCCAATCTGTAAAACCTTTGTCTTACTTATGTGATGTCTTTTGATAGTTTCATGTGAATCTTGAAGTGTGTTGTTAATATTGTAACTCATTGCAAAAACATGAACACAGTAATCAACTTTTACAGAGATGATATTATAATAAACTTTTTTGATTACAAAAATGTTGGGGATATTTCTAGGATGTAGAATCTTCAAGAGGAGAATCATCAGTGAAAAGAGATTGGATTTCTTCTAAAGATTTGCCTTTAGTCTCAGGAACAAGCTTAGCTATGAACACAAATCCAAGGCCAGTCACTGTGGCAAACATCAGAAATGTTCCTGCAATAATTTTTATTTTCCCAAGTTAGAAGATCATTTCTTTATTTCAGTTATAACTTATAAGATTGTATTGTATATAATAACGTTAGAGATTACCTGTGGGACTCCATTGAAGCAAGTAGTTGAAAGAATAGGCAACGAGCCATGAACTTATCGAGCCGACCAAATTACAGACTGTTCCTGCTGCTCCCTTAACGTTAAGTGGATAAATCTGTAAGAAAAATAAATGAATTATAGTTAGTTAATATGTAGATTATATATTTGATTTGAATTTTTTTTGAATAAAATTTACTTCTGATATTATGATCCATGGTATTGCTGACATGCCTATTCCGTATGATCCGAAATAGACCTGATTTTATAAATA